GGGATTAAAAGCAAGCCAGGGACCACATAAAAGTGGCTGAGCATATTGAGAGACCTATTTCTTTCTCTCCTTCCCTTTCTCCAAACAGCTTTAAGCAAATGTTCTCCAGAAGGTGCTCAACACTTTCACAGCTTCTAAGGGCTTTTAACAGGAGTTGTGGTTGTCCAGCACTTTACAGGCTATATTACAGAATGGATGGATGAGATCCAGCCACTATTAAAGCAGATGAAGACAATTCCATTGAGTTTAATGGGATGGAGGGGGGTGACTGATGCCTTGACTTCTAGAAGTCAAGGCATCAGTCACCCCCCTCCATCCCATTAAACTCAATGGAATTGTCTTCATCTGCTTTAATAGTAGCTGGATCTCACCCATCCATTCTGTAATATGGTATCCAAAGCAAACATCAGCACAAGTTCAATGCTCTCTGCCTAACAAAGGGGTTTGTAGCCTCACAAAGGATGAAGACATCCTGAATCTCAAAGGAAGTACAGTCAGCCCTTCACATCCATGGATCTTTTTATCCACAAATTCAAGCATCCATGGCTTGAAGATATTTTAAAAATATATAAATTTCAAAAAGCAAACCTTAATTTTGCCATTTTATATAAGGGATACCATTTTACTACATCATTGCCTGTAATGGGACTTCAGCATCCATGGATCTTGGTATCCATGAGGAGGTCGTGGAATCAAATCCCAGTAGATACCAAGGACCCACTGTATATTTTGTGTTGCTAATAGAATTTAAATTTTATTTCCTGGACTTTAAGATGTTTTGGGTTGATGCAAACCCACCTAAAGGGCCAGCCTGGAGGTGGCGTTGGGGCGGGGTGACTGCACACTGGACACTCTGACTCTGCCCTGACACTGCCATCACACCATGTACCCAACCGCATGGATTGTTGCATCAGGGTGCCCTGTTGGCACAGCATGCACACACACTGCACCAAAGGGGTACAAGAGAGCTGCGGCTGCGGTTCTAAGGGCGGCTTTTTGACGCCCCCAAAAAGAGTGGCATTTGTCAGCTCTTTTTGGAGCAGCAAAAAGGAAGATTGGGGCCACAGCATGCGGTTGCCACGGCCCCAATCCAGTGCTCCCAGGAGCAGCACAGAGCCACCCCTTAAGGGCCATGTGCATTAGCCCTTTGTCTCGGAGTATCTGCATGACCAGAAGGAGGAGAGCATTGATATCCCACCATACCATCTCAATTCAGAACAACACCAATATCTTGACAAAATGCAGGCCTATGACTGGCATTGTCATGTTTTCTTCCTCCGGTATGATTTTTAACACCTTTGCCTGATGAAGAAACCAGTGGAGCTTTGAAAGCTTGCAACATGTATTTTGTGCATTTTGGTTGGCGCCATAAAGGTTTTGTGGATTTTGGATGTCACTGTAATCAGTATGGATAAAAGGATGACTTCTAGGAGTGCCCTCCTGCAATTTTTCTGTTTCAAAACCCGAGACTCTGTATTTCCACTTTTCTTCTATTCCTTTCCTCCCCCTCTTGTTTTCATGGGATGTTCCTCCTCCTCTGCATCCTCTGTTATTGCATTCATTTATTCCTTCTCAGCTCAGCATGGATCCCAAGGGTGATGCAATGTACATACAAACATTATCTAAAATAAATAAACACAAAACACTTTAAAAACACACACACTAGGAATCCTGTTGTTTACTCACTACAGGGGTAGACCTATTGAATCAATTGATGTAGGGTGACTCAACAGGCATATAAATCCCATAGATTTATAGTGAAAATGAACTTTAGTGAAAATGAACAACAGGATTTGGTGCCTTTTTTTTTTTTTAAAAGTCCCCAAATCAAATGCTGTTTTCTCTTCTCCCTTACCTTAAATACCCTGTTTGATTTCAGAAGCTATGCAGGGTTGGGTCTAGAGAACACTTGGATGGGAGATTACCAGGAGAGAATATCCATTCCGTCTCCAGGCAGGGCTGGGAGAAAATCCGTCCTGAAAGGAAAGCTCCGAAAGTCATGGCTGCCAGTCAGCGCTGATAATGCTACCCATGGTCCGACATGGTATGAGGCAGCTCTTTCAGCCCCTATGTTTGAAGGACCATAGGCCGTAAGGAACAATGCCCTCTTGGTTGCCTGTTGGAAGCTGAATAGGGATGGGAACTAGCCTAACTTTGCTGAGGAGGTCATTCTCCAACTAGGAGACCACTATGGAGGATACTCTGTCTTGCCCACTCATCCATCTAGACTAGGGGTCCTCAAACTTTTTAAACAGTGGGCCAGTTAACTGTCCCTCAGACCATTGGAGGGCCGGATATGTGCACTGGGGCCTGGGACAAGTCGGCTGCTAAGCAGGACAGGCAGCGGCAGCAAAAACACCCGGCAGGCTGGATAAATGTCCTGGGTGGGCCGCATGTGGCCCACGGGCCATAGTTTGAGGACCCCTGATCTATACTTACAGAGTGGTGGGAGACGCACTAGGGTCTCCAGAGAGGATCTTATGTCTCCTCTTCTCCTAAGGGAGAAGGTGGTCCTTCATTTTGTTTATGGAAGTTTTGCATTCTGACCCATGATGAGCAGAGATGGCCCAGGACAGGATGCAAATGGCACCCATCACCAGCATGACAAACCAAGGTCCATAGCATCAGTACTGGTCAGTGCTTAAAGATTGCTCACCTATGGCACACCACTGATATAAGTCATGAGCAACAAGACATCCTTGTAACTATAAAAGTAATGTCCCACAAAGCAGCTACTGTCTGACTGAAAAAGAAATGCAGGTTACATCTACTGTAGCAATAATGCAGTTTGGCACCACTTTAAGTGTCGTAGCTCCATTCTATGGAATCCGGGGATTTGTTCTTTCACAAGGTCTTTAGCCTGCTCTGCCAAAGAATGCCAGTGCCTTATCAAACTACAAATCCCAGGATTCTGTAGGATGGAGCCATGGCCGTTAAAGTGGTGTCAAACTGCATTATTTCCACCCTTGGAGGTCTAAGGCTGTAAAATAATAAAATAGTTTAACGCCATTTTAAGTACTGTAGCCCCATCCTATGGAATTCTAGGATTTGGAGTTCTACCAAGTCTTTAGTCTTCTCTGCCAAAGACTGCTGGTTCATCACAAAACTATAAACCCCAGGGTTCTGTAGGATAGAGCCATGGCTTTTAAAGTGGTGTCAAACTGCATTATTTCTACAGTGTAGATGCATCTGAAGTCACAGAATCTTAGACTTGGAAGGGACATCAAGGGTCATATAGTCCAACCCAATTCTGCCATGCAGGAATATGCAGCTAAAGCACTCTCTAAAGAAGTGTCTGCTCTTTTTTGGACAACCGGAAATATATTTCTTTGAACAGCAGCTCCCAGCCAGCAGTGCAGGGTGCTGCAGTCTAAACAATTTTTCCAAGCTGCCTTAGGCTTCTGCATATGTTCTTTCTTTCTTTCTTCTGCCAGCCTTATTTGATTCATCATGATGCTCGATCAATAATTCTGCTTCCATGACATCCATTAAGCACTGGCTCCTTCCTTCTCTCTGGCTTGGATTTTTCGAAATCACGCTGGATCGGGCATTAAGTGTCATCTCCCCTGTTTACGGCAATTTATAATGCCCAACAAATCCAATGGTGGCATAAAATTGAACTTTCCCCCCCTGCAGACAGAGCCTAGAAAAGTTACTTGTTTGGGTGGTAGCTCCCAGAAAGGCCTAGCCAGCATGATCAATGGAGTTTTCTCCAAACAAGGAACTTTCCCAAGTGTCTGTTTTGCACCACTGATGAATCTGGGCCCAGTGCTGTTCAATATCTTTATTAATGACTTGGATGACGGT